TAATTTTAGCAAATTCGAGTGGTCTCATTGACAGTCTCATTAATTTTTGGTAAAAAATCAAAAAACTTTTCCCTGAGAAAACCCGCAAAAAATATATGAAGTTCATACAAACATATACAAGAAAAAAAATATATAAACGTATTGAAAAAAACCATTAAAAAAATTTTAAAAAAATCCAACCTTAGCACCAATACAGAGCATTTGCTCGCGACTATATTTTCGATTTCTGGTCACTGGCACATCCTGCTTCAACTGCTCACTGGATACACATTTTTCGACGCTAACTGGGAGCTAAAATTGAGAACACTGATTATTACTCCAGAACTGTGCCCCCTCCCCCGTTCCCCTCCTCCAACAACCGATGCGGCAAACTCTGATATTCCAGCTGCGCCACTGGGGATGCATCACATATTCCAAAAAGCAGTTATACCTGATCTTCCCTCACCTCTCCCCCTAAAAAAATTTGAAAATTATGACCTATGGCTCAAATTATGATCTAAAAAATCTCCAAACTGATTAATTTTATACTCCTACCAAAACTATATAAATTTATAACAAACCTGGCTAGAGTGACGAATTTGAAATGTATGCTTATCATATACATGGCAAATAGGAGGCTGAATTGATGATTTTCCCCTCCCCTTTTTTTCTCTATCCCCTCCCCCCTCCTCCGCCTGCATTTCCTGCTTCACATGTCTCTCCAATGTATCTCCGTTGGTCATCTGACCCCCCTCCCGCTTTTTTTAATCTCCAATTCTAGCACCGCATTTTGCAGATGGATTAAGGCATAGAGTAGTGTCTCAAAACCTCAATGACAACGAAAATCAAGCAACTAACCCGGCCATTTCGACCGCAATTCAAATTAGCCTGAAACGCTTTCTCAGCCTAATAACACATAACTTTTTCAGCAAAACACATTTCAAGTGATCCAGCACTAATGTATGCTTGATACGTACATCTAAAAGTTCGGCCGGCGATGGATCCGTTTCCGTTTGATCACGCCTGACCGGTGGAATTGTAAGCGGCTGTCCATTATCATCAACAGTTGCTTTCAAATTTCCAGCACGCCATGCTTCGTACAGTGCATCACGGATCTGTGAAATTTTTTTGCTAAATTTTCTGGAAAATTTTGAAAAATTTTTCCATCGAGTTCCACCAAACCCCATCCTGCTCTGCATACAGTCATGAATGAGAGGTAAGAACAATGGGACAAGATGGGTGAGAGGAGAGACGAGGCGACGGGAGCGGAGGAGAACGGGTTGGAGAAGGGGAAGGAGAAGGGATGTACGGAAGTAGGCAAAGGTTTCATGTAAAATCCAAAACAATGAGGCTTCTTTTTCTCCTCCAGATGAATTTTTCACTCCTTCTTCTTCGCCTCACATGACTTTTTTTCAAATTTTTTGCGAACTATTTCGCGCTGTCTCTCGGTTGGCTTGCACGTAATCATAATAACTGATAGCGTAATAGTGTAAAAATCTGAAATATCACTATAAAAATCTTTATAAAAAAGTTGAAAAATGAAGTGTAAGCATTACCACCCAACAATTTCGATCCTTGATACGTACAACAACGACATCACCATGCAGCGCACGGTTACGATCGTGGACACCGAGGATCAGAATATCCTGCTGATCGTCACCCATCGGATTATCCACAAACGATTCCTCATAGTTGCGCTGATTAACGCGTAAAACACCCTAAAAATTGCCCTCTAAAATACATAAAATACTCCCAAAACAAGATGCCTTAAAAATAAAAATTTTTTGCGCTCGATTTACACGGTTTTTTTTCCACACATGATTTTTTTACAATAGCTCAGAAGTAGTCCATTTACAGACCAACAAAAGTCAGTAGTACTAACATACTAAGCACCGAAAGAAAAAGCATTGGTCAGAGCAATAAGTGAAAAGTTTGCTAGCTGCAGAAACTCAGATGAATGACAAATGTTTTGGCAAAATTATAGCCATTGTTTTCCGGTTAGTTTTTGAGTTGATAGAGTGCCAATCCCGAAATGACTGCACGCATGACACAACTAGCTCCAATAGCTGTTTTGAAATCTTCAGCTCATACATGGACAGAGAATGTCCCCGCAAAGTTCTAATTTTTAATCACAATCACATTTTTAATTTTTTTTTTGATTTTTAATTTTAATGTTTAATCACATCACAAACCCCCTTGTGCGTTGTTAATAAATAGACTGTAACAACCAAGTTAACCCTGAAAGCTTAAATGGCAAAGGCACGGTAGATTACAATATGAGAGAAGGAGGTAAGAGTGAGATAAGACGTTTCGGTCCATTAAATAAATATACGTCTTAACTCGACACTGTGCGACAGGACCTCGTCAATATGACGGTCACAGTGTTCTTAATGGAATACTTGAAAAGGGATATCTCTTGGGATATATTCCTGCTCACCTTGATGAGATCGTTGTTGGCCAATCCACGGCTGACAGCATCGACACTCATATATGGCATGAAGAATGGTTTACGCGTTTTCTGGTTCTGCTGAATGTTGCGTGGCAGCTGCTGCTGCTGTTGCTGACTGGCGCCACCACTGAGCTGTTGCTGCTGCTGCTGCTGCGGGGACATATTGCCCGATGCTGTCTGTGTGGGGTGTACGGAGCCTGGCATGTACTGCTGGTGAATGAAAGTACGAGGACTGCCTAAAGTGAAAATTTATCTCGATCTTAAACCTTGAAGACTTCTTGATTTTGAAAATCTTGAAATCTTGAATTTTGAAAATCTTGAAATCTTGAAAAAAACGAAAATCTTGAAAATTTGAAAAAAAAGTAGCACTACTTCCAGTGTTTTCAGATTAATTATCAAAGTTCGATTGTGTTCGTCTCCGCTATGGTAGTGGGCCAGCAGTGCCAAACAAACTGCATATGTTAACACATGGATGCGAATTCAGCCCCGCCCCCCACCTCGGGGGAATTCGCTGAGAACTTAGCAAATTCATCCTCCCCGATGATTCAGGAATTAAACGCCTAGTCAGCAGGCTATTCTCATAAAAAGTGTTTAATTTTCTTTTCCTTCGCTCCTCCCCCACTCTGTCTGCTCTCTCCCTCTCTCTCTCTCTTACTTCTCTTTCATTTACACACCTGTCCTGCAAATTAGTCACATGACTATTCAGAACATGGCGGATAGGAGGCTGTACTGATGATTCCCGCTCCTACCCACACACACATTGCTCGGTCTGTGTTTACAGCTAAGGGATGAAACACAGACTAACGACATCGTAAAAAATTGCCCTTCAGCACATGACACTTAAGAGACCAATCCTTCCATTCTACTAATTCATTGTTTATATTTCTCTAAAATTTCTACAGTACTTTATAAAAGCCTTAGAAAACTAAGCTATTTTTGACGCAAGCATTCAACGCCCCGAGTAATCCTGAAGAAGCTGGAAACAGTACCTCGATGCAAATTTTTCGCCATATGCTGGAACTCGCTCGCCATCTTTCCTCTCTCCGCACTGGGCAATTTATTAAAATTGGG